TATTAATCTTAATTTAAGATAATTATATTACTTAATTATTTAATTAAAGATTAATAATGTGATTAATTAATTTTAATTAATGTCAAATTACATATTTGATTAAATTAACCATCTAATTAATTAATTTAAATCCTTAATTTCCTTTAATATTAGTCAAAGTCAAAATTATCTTTCTTCATTTCAATTTCACTCAAAAGTTTTATGATTAAGCAATTCAGTCCATGGGTATCAACTCTTTTCAAATCAGTCTTTCATGTTTTGAGTTTTATCAAATCAGTCCTCCCTATTTCAAATTTAATCAAACTAGTCCCTCTAATTTTTACTTGTGTTCCTTGTGCATGCATGTCTTTGATTTCGTCCATTTTAGTCCAAAAGGTTAAAAATGTTGCAATTTGGTTTATCTCTTTTTTCAAGCTTGTTTATTAAGACCCAAATATAAACATATTAAATAAGTTGAATTAGAATCCCCCAATGTTAAAGTATGCAATCGTGTTTAAACGGAAGATTGTGAGGTGTGCGTATGCCCTTCCTCACTCTTAACCGAACCCCCGAATCTCGATCTCTGCGCAAACTCGTTTTATGTAACTTGTCCCACCTTATAATTTGGACAATTGACGACTCCCCCTTTTTCATTTTACACTTAATTTTTCATTGTTTTTGAAGTCTTAAGTGGTCGCCAACACTGAGTGATTAAGAATGGTATTACCCCTGAGAAGCGAGATGAGTTGGTCATACTGCTCTTTGCTCAACCCAGAAATTGGAGATTGATTTGATAACTCCTTTGTGGGCTTATGTGCTACATTAGCCATAAAAGCATGGTCTTTCTCTCGTCCTGTCTTTTGTGCCTCGTCCTTCGTCTTGGTTTTGCCTATCCCAAACTTCCAATTCACAAGATACCCAATGATCTCATAGCATCTTTCTTAGTGTGCCCAAGCTTTTTACAATGATCACATCGTGACTTTCTTGATGGTCCCCTTGCTGCAAGAGCTATGGCTTCTATATTTGGACCCTTGGAGCTATGGCTTCTAAGTATATATACACACATACAATGTCACTCTTTCTTAACTCTATTGATAATATAAATGCTGATTGGCCCGGAGGAAGGTAATGCTAAAAAATTAAATAGAGTAGTGAAATTGATGTAAATACAATTTTATTTCATGAAAAAAATCTTACAGTAATTACATATTATTAAATAAGTATATACACATGATTAATAACCTTAATGAGGTGATTTAATGGTTAAAAGTTAAAGATTTAAAGTTAGAGATTTCAAGTTCTTTGAGTCGATCGAGGAGGAATTTAAGAAAACGAGAAGATTATCCCCTCTTGTAGAGTCCATTCAGACGTACCAAAAAATATATATATATACACATGATTAATGTTTATTAATTAATTTTCCATAAGTATATACAGTAATTACACATGATTAATAACTAAGGTTTGAGAGATTAAGTAGCCCCTCAAGGTATCATATTTTTTTATAATAATCTATTGTTATGTACAGCATGAAATGAAACCTCTATTGTGAGGAGGATGTTTGCGGAGAGTAAAAGTGCACGTGCTATTCTTTGTTAAATAAAAAAAATATAAAATTAACATTTTTATTTATACATTTTCTTGAGCAACCTCCGCTCTACCATCTGGCACATGCGAGTTGCATTCGTCCTCATATCCCTAAGTTCCAATACAACAGGATTTTAGGGCTCCCTTTGTTCCGCTCCTCTCTAATATCCATCCAGGTCCTAACAAAAAACCAACAAGGGGGAAGGGGGGCCTCTCGCCTTTGCACATTTCTGACGCTGAGGCTTTTGCTGATTGTACTTCTTTGTGAGTTTTGTTTATTTGTAAGAAATTGCTCAATGATATCATAAGGAGGCTGGTGGAGGCGAAGAACGGCAGGAACGCCAAGCTGACGGAGGTCGAGATACGGCAGCTTTGCACCGTCTCCAGGGAAGTCATTCTTAGCCAGCCCAATCTATTAGAGCTCCAAGCTCCTATCAAAATTTGTGGTACTAATTACTATAACAAAATCATCTACTTTTACTCCATAATCTATTTGTTGTTGATTCTGATTTTTTTTTTTTTTTTGGGTATTTTGCTTGTTTTGTCATTACTATTTGTGTTAATTTTTTTAGCAATTAAGGGTGAGGGAAAGGAGAACTCTTTTTTTTTTTCCTTTTTCTTTAAAAAAAAAAAGAAAAAAATGATTTAGGGTACTTGATTCTTTGAATTAGGAAGGTGTTAGCCATGTGGTTATTGACAGAAAATTTTCACTAAATGGTGTGCAGACTTGTTGTCCATATTTGTTTCCTTTGCATGTATAAAACTAAGTAGGTAGAGTCTGACAAATCAACTGTGTAATTTGCGAGTGATACCTAAGATTTTTACTAACAATATAAACTTTGCATTGGTCTTTGCTTTATTTTCTCTAGCCATTTAAGATATT